CCTGCGTCCTCAGGAATCCCTTCGTCCACGGCATTGCAGCCCACGAAGTAGGACATGGCCTCTCAGAGCAGGGTTTCCCTGAGTTCATTGAGCATAAGACTGGGGCTCCTCTGCATCCCAATCTCCCAACCCTTTTCCCAGGCATCATCCCCATAAACGGCAAATTCCCGAACACCGGGCCTGGGACGCAGTGGGGCGGAACTGGCAATCCTTCGCCTTGCTGTGCAAGTAGGTTGGGGTTGGTAGTGATGGGATAAACGTTTAGGGCTTAAGGCCGTCAACACTAAACGCTGGGTATTATCAAGTGGCCTTGGTAGGCTTGAAAAGCACGTTGTTGTGGCCGTAGGCGTAGAGGTCCGCAGCTGCTTCGCCGGCCACTTTGACATAGTCACCACCCTCCAGGTAGACCTGTGTAGGGTTCAGGATTTGTGGATGAATGGCTCAGCCGAAAAGACTTTGTCAGGATCATTGGGGCATACTTAGAGACCAGAGCTTACGTCGATGGCGCTTCGGGTGGCGTGGGGTCATCGTTTAGGGTCAGGCTCGGTCAATGCTTTGTACCAAACGCCTATATCTATGACAAACATCAGGGTCTTAGGGGAATACCGTTGGCCATTGTGCACGGCCGGCTCCTGCGGTACACGCTGCGGGAACATGAAGTGGAAAGGTGTGGGGGGGGGGAGAACATTAGATCCCAATATACTATCATCCTTATTCTAGGGACCCCCCAAGAAGGGACGAAGGGACCCATAATTTTGGGAAACCCCCCATTTACAGGGCGATGAAATTACGGGCTGCTAATATTCTCGAGATCATAACAGTTGTCCGTGACTTCTTTGCTGATGCTACGATGTTCCTTCCACTTCTGATTTTGGACGTGACCTCGCACCTGCAAGAATCTGTACCACTAAACGAGTTGCCCATCGTCCCAGGGCTAATCCCTATGTCCCTGAACGCGATGTAAGACACATCGAGGTCATCATCTTCATCTCTATCATCCCTTAGATAATGACTCGTCTTCGCAACATTCCCATCATTCAAACATCCTATGCCAATCTACGGAAGCCTCATCAAACCTAAAAGAACCGGCCTCTCCCGGTAAAGGTTTATGCATCACCTCCAATCACCCATGGAGACTGCAAATACAGAATGTCGGAGACTTCCATCCCCCCCGGCTTCTCACCTAGGAGGTCGTTTTGCCATCCGAGGAATCCACGAAAGTAACTTGTAGACATACCCAGATCCATAATCTCTCCACTGTGCTGTAGGCCTATGGGTCCCATAGGCTTCGCCCGGAACCAAAAACACCGATACCAGCTGCTAACCTCGCACCTCTTCCTAAGATCACAAATTACAGCTACCTCTGTAATCCCATCTCTGGGGCCTATATGGTACTCGTAAGTGCCCCCCAAACACTACACTAACCCAGCCTTGGAGATGTTCTTGATGGCGTCCGACCATGCCTTTTGTGCGGCACGCACTTCGGCCTCCGACACCTTACCAGGGCCATTGGGCTGAATTTGTCGGGATTTAGAAGGATTGCGCCACCACGCCTCCTGTGAGGTTGCAGGATCACAGGGATTGACTTAGGAACCCACCTTGGCGCCTATTTGTTCATGAAAAAATGTCATGCGCACCTCTGTGCGTGGATTACGTCGGAGAAGAATAAGTGTAACATCAGGGGCGATATATTTCCTTCCAAAGCCCGTCCGCAGCGCCTGCTGCACGCCATCGCTGTACTGCACGTACTGCACTGGCTGGGCCTGCGGCATGTAAGGATTTGGTGGGGGGGGGGGGGCGTAGGGATTATTGATGCTGCCGTTGTTTTCCGCAATAGGGGGAACCAACACCTTGAACCCCAAGAGCCTGAAACCATACCCCTCAACCCTAAAGACCTCAAACACTAAACCCCAAAACATGAACCAGCAGACTCAATAAGACAACCTATAACCCCAACAACAGCTTTCAAGTTCTAGCGGAGGTGCTTTAATAGGCTCTCTCTCTTTGGGCTTTGGCTTCGGCATATGGGAGCAAGGTTCTGGTGAGTTGTCTGTGAAACTTTGTTATGGCGCTGGTTCCTCAATTTATGCGTAGACGAAGAGGACCAACAAACGACCCAAAAATCAGATAAAGAGGGACTCATTGGTTCTAGAGTTGAGGTTCAGGCACCCAGTTAGTTGTCAGAGGTCTCACCAGTGGTCGGTACAAAAACAATCCACAAACAACAGGCTCTTCTTCTTCTTCTACTGGATCTCTCTCTCTCTCTCTCTCTTTTCAGGCGATTCTTGAGGATCCCCGGGGCGTGTAAAGACAAGCTTTAGGATTTAGGGTTTGGGAATGTCTGAGGTTGGAGGGACTCGATGGCTTCGAGGGCACTTCTTTATCGGGACCTGTTTCGGGACAATGCAAAATCATTCCGGCACCACATGTTATTTGACTGTGCAGGTTTTGTGACTCGGAGTTTGGCGTCTACATTATATTGTTCAGGCCGAAGGCAACAAGGGCGAACGTGGCTTGACTGCCTCGTAGTTCGCACGTGCGACGGGAGAAGGCATATCAATGAAAGCCCAGATATTATGTATCTCGCATTCTGAAGGCGAAGGAAGTCAAACCACAATGCCAAGGTGCCACCCAAGATTTCGTGACGGTAACAAGCTGCTGGCATTCAGATAGGCTGCTCTTGTTTGGACTGATCAATCGCAGGTTACTAGATCGGGACTCTTTTTGCTGTCGCTCGCCTACATGTTCAACCATAGCGGCCTTGTATGCTGGAGTTTGGTGCGCAGTGCTTCCACTTGCTTATACGAACGCCATGTATTTTGAGGATCCCAGGATGGTTCTGATGGACAGAATTCCTGCATGACATCGCGTAGGATTTCTTTGACCATCTGTAGCAACAAGAACATGTTCCAAGTGTAACTTACAAGAACCTTGCAACATTATGCCCGGTTTGGTCACTCCGCTTGAAGGGCCCTACCCTTTGGGTCTTGCGTGTAAGGGCTTTCCATGGAAGGCAAAAAGCAGGCCCATTCCCTAGATTCCTCCGCCTGAGGAATCAATCGCACTCAACTCGACAAAGCAACAATACGACTCTACCATTATATCATATCATACCATAATATACTTAATACACTATTATATACTATCCACCCCGACTGACTGTTGGCAAAGGACTGCTCTCCCTGAAGGAAGCTGCCGAGTCAGTGCCTCCTCCACTGACTGCTTGCTCTTTGTGCGGGAGCGTCCAAACACCTTGATCGCTTCGGTTGACGCATCAAACAAATTTTTGCTAAGCATCAAAAAGAAATTTGATTCTACAAATCAAGAAAAAATTTGAATCTTGGTGCCCCGGCATCAAAAAAAATAAATAAGCATCAAAAACAAATTTGAAGGCCATAAAATAGTAATAGTAATAGTAAT